GAGGAGTTCCTTAAAAATTACAGGAATGTGTCTAAGAATGATCTTCCAAGAGAGTGATGTTTAAACTGGGTCTTGAAGAATGAGCAGGGATGTTATGGAAAGGAAGGGCTTTCTAGGTAAAGAAGAGAGAAGGCCAAAACATTACAGTGAAAAACAAAGAAGTAAAATCAACATAAGTCAGATGTGGAGGTAAGGGAGAAACATTAAAATTATCAGTTAAAGCAGTATGTGTAACCAGTTACATTGTGGATTAACTACAGAGAAAAGAGATTTAGGGGAGAATATTCCTTCAATATTTAATAGGCTGAGTATTAAAGTACATGTGATCCAATAAAATGGAGATATCCAGTAGATTCTAGGATATATGGATCTGGATTTAAGAAGAAAGATTGGAGCTACAAAGACTTGGGAATCGCCAAGAAGATAGCTGGTCGCTGAAATCATGAGCATAAACAAGATTGCTCAGAGAGTTCTTGCAAAGCACACACAGCAGGTACCAGAGAGTAAAATGTTGGGGAACACCAATATTTATGGATCAAACAGTTAAAGAGGAATAAACCAAAGAAGCCAGAAAAAGAAGTGAGAGAAGTAGGTGAGGCAGCAAAAAACACCACCGCAGACACCAAGGAAGGCTCTTAATATGGACAAAATAGATGGTAAGTGGAATGAGGACAAACAGCCTCTAGATTGAAAATTACATCATTAGCTTCTTTATCTGCAGCAACGTCAATAGACTAGTAGAATCAGCAGTCCCACAAGTGATGGTACTTGGGAAGTGAAAGGGAGAAAGAAGACTCAGTGATTCTCTTCAATAAATGCAGCAGTGTAAGAAAGCAGAGGGAGAAGGCAAGAATGGAAGGAGTGTGGAGGCAGGGACAAGGGCAAGGTTTTTTGGTTCTTCTTGTTTGTTTCTTTTTAATATGGGGTAAAACTTGAGCACATCTGCAGGCTAAGGTGAAGGAGCCAAATGAGAGGGAAAAAAATCCAAGATACAAGACTGAAGAATTAAGCTAACTGGGCAGATCTCCAAAATGGTGGAAGTGATCGAGCTGTAGACAAGTGGTCCTTTCCTTGGAAAGGTGAATAGTTATCCTTCTGAAACTAGGTGGAGGAGGAGCATGAGAGGAAGGTTGCTTCAGATATTATAGATAAGTTTAGTAATGGTAGGAGGCAAGTTGAGAGAATCCACACCACACATCACTATTTTTCGCAGTAGAGTAGGAAGTTAATTATCTGCTTGGAATGGATGTTCAGGAATGGGGAGAGAAGCCCCAGCAGTCACTAAGGGAAATGGAGTAAAGATACCTGCCAGAAGTGAATCCTACCAGTTTTTGCCATCTGATCTAGCCCCTCGTAGGAACCAGAGTTTCAAACTGAATCGGCTTGGAATTAGGGACAAAAACGAGTATTTAGTCAGATCTCTCCTCAATAGAGACCGGATACATTCTGAGGTACAGAGGGGTGTGTTCACAAGTTGCTTAGTTTGACTCAAAGTAATCCCCTCACTAGATTTAAAAGTGGCCTTATAAGAATGGAAGTAGTCCACCTAGAATTACAGGGGGCAGTTTAAAGTCAGTAACACCCAATTATGGCCTTACCAAGCACTTAAAATATATTAAGGACCACCGAGGGATAAAGACGAAAAATCCCTATTGTCTATAAACTACATCTTAAGTTATTAAGAAGCATACAGTCTGAAATTTGTATGTGCAAGGGGGTCTTGCAAAGTGCTTAGAGCATAGCTTTGGGTTCATACTGGCTTGAAACAGAAAAAGCAATTTTGACGGACCCTGCACTTGCCAGATCTCTTACCTTGCCTTTTGACCCTTAAGTGTGACATGTATTCAAATACACACACTTATTCTCCTAATCTAAATCTCAAACCCTGGGGTTGAGCAGATTCTGAGTCTTCCACAACTGCTCCATGGATATGGAATGAATTATTCAGAGAAGGGTGTAGCTTTTGATTCCTGTTTTAACTCCACCTAACCACAAAGAGGGGAAATCCAGGTCCTTGTTTTAGTCTGGGTATATCAGAATCAAATTTCCTGGGTGCTCTGACTACTACAATGAGTTTAGCAAAACTGAACCTATACTATTATTCTTGGGTTTTTGGGTTTTTTTTTTTTTCTACCATAGAAGAAATGCCTGCACCAGTACACAAAGTGAAAGTAGCTTTATGACAAACCAAGAGCACATTCTCTTAGGCTGAGACACAAGATAGAAAAACACAGAAATTTTTATCTTGTATAAAAAGCTATGAGAGCAAAAACCTAAAAGATGGGCAAAATTGTTACATGAAAATTATGTCACAAAAAAAGAACATTGATATGTTAAAAACAATGCCTATAGTAGCTATCGTTGAGTTAACAACAAGGAATGCCAACTTAGTTTTAATAATACGAGTGATTATTTTGGATTTAGAATATTTATCAATTTGGGGAAAAACACCTATTTTTCATCTTTAGAACCTGGCCTTTCAAATCTCCATTAACAACTCAGTGGCAAAGATAAAACATCTGCCAAAATACAGATGACAGCATGAGCAAGTGTCCTAATGGCAGCATTTAGTGTAATGCTTTACCACGCTGTCTCTAGACTGCTGGGGCGGCCCCATAAATAAGTATTTCTAAACAGGCATTTACTTTCCTAAAATGGCAACTTGTGTTTAAAAGGGATATATTCTTTAGGAGAAAAGAAAACATTTTCGTCCAAGCAAGCCAAATTACTACTAGACTTAAGACAATAAAAATGTTTTTTAATTTACTCATGTTTACCCTTGATTTCAAAAACTCACTTTGAACAAAGAAAAATCATTCAACCACTGAAAAAGTTCATATCACTATCATTGAGTGAGGTTTTATTTCCAGTTAGTGAATACTACAGAAACTGCTGATGTGCTTTGAAACAATTATAATTGGACATAGAGGGGGAGGGAGGAAAGGAGCACAGTAATTCATTCCGCATCTTGTAAACCGATACACGGGGGATGGGGGTTGGGGGATGGGGGTTGCAGTTTCCCTGTAATTAGACGAAAGGCATTTTAGATAACTCCTTTTACCACAAAGGCCAACTGAAATGGTGGTAGCTTACAGGAAACTGGCTACCTTGATTATCAGCCGTTTGTAACTGAAACTGAAAGCAAAGTCTAACCGGTGCACACATACAAGTCCATGACTACCTTTCTCATTCTAGATCCCAAAATCAGTCTCCCAAATACCCTGGTTTACGACTATTTGTGTTCTGAGGCTATGAACATCTGTTTATACAGTCCTTCTAAAACTACACATTAAAAACACACAAAAAGTCCATTATATCTTATGACAAACTCACTTAATGTTTTATATTCAACACTCAGAACTCAAATGCATAATGCGTCTATTCTCTTTTTTTTTAGGTTATTATTAACCAAGTATAATAGAATACCATAAAGTCTGAATTCTATGACTCTGTAGGGACTTCAGCACATTAAAAATTGTATGTAAATGAGTGTTAATTATATGTAATCTTAACTATTACTAAAGGAGGCCTACCAGAATTCCTAGTCCCAAAAGTACCATTCCAGCAATTCTTTCTAATCTACTTGAAAACAGGACCCTTATTTTTAAAACAGTACATGATTTACACTTTTTTACTCTTCAAACTAGCTTTGACACTAACCATCCGAATAAGAGATATTTTACTACAAATTTATAATCTGGTTCAAAATGAAGGCTGTCTGATTATACAACAGATTTCTGAAAGCAGTATTATTTTAGCTATAATGATAGTAATGGCAACAAGCCATTAATGACGATGACAGGAAACACTACCTTATCAATAGCAACCCTTTAGATAATAGAAATATTGAAATTAACAGCTCCAACACCCCAGGATGTTTCAGAGAGCAGGGAAAGTGAGAAGCAGGGACTTAAGGGCATCTTGGAAAAAGCTTGAAGTCACAAGCCTCTAAGAAGGCACAGCGAGGCTAGCAACCAGTTTAAAATGTAAATAAATTTCACCTTCTAGAATTCAACGTAACAATCGCTTGCTACTGTTACTCAAACAATTCTGAATCTTACAAAAAGTTCACAAAAGGCTCCACAGATGTGAAGGGTGACAGGCACTGCAGAGCCACGGAAACTCCTATTCCTTCCTCAATTTTTACAGACGAAGCACACGTCTTAAAAAAGAGAAATGGATTCCAAAAGCTGGGGGGCCAACACGCCCTTGGCGTCAAAAGACGCTAAACGCTACTCTGACGCAAATCTGGACTAGAGGGTACTGTCTTTATACTTCAACAGAAATCCGGATTACTTTTAAAACGGTTCCCCCAAATAAAGTGGGAAAATGTGAACGTGAAATTTGGACTATATCAAAGTGGTTGATGGGGCGTGGGGGTAGCGAGAAAAAAAGTGGGTAAGAATAAGGAAGCTTATTTCTAGGTTTAGAAAAAAAAGATGGCCAGAAGATTCTTCTGATTAAATGCTGGGTTGGAAATGAAACTTACTTAATAGGGTCCTTTATGTCCCCTTAACTCCTCCGTTCATGTAGGAGGGCAAATAGGAGAAACCCCGTCTTGCAGACTTCGCCAAAATACGCACTTCCATCTCAAGAGGCCCGGCCCTCCCACTCTCCCTCCTTCATCGCCGACAGCGGTTAAGCACTGAGGAGGGAGAGGGGTGCGAAAAAGGAGGGATCCTAACAGCTGTCAGCCCCTCGCCTCCGATCGCGCCCTCTCTGTCTACACTGAATTGTTGCGGAAGGTGCACGGTTTGGAGTCTTCCTCGGGGTGTGCATCCGGAGGTGGACAGCGGGGGAAGGAGATGAGCCCCGCTCTCACGCAAGGGGACGAGGAAGAGGAGGGAAGGGGAGGAAAGGGGCGCCCGACTGCCCGCGGGGCCCTCCCGGGTCCGCGCCCCGCCACCCGCTCCAGGCGCCGCGGGGCCAGCGGGGCGCAGCCCACACGCCCGCGGGGGCGGGGAGCCCAGGGCGCAGAGCCGAGACCAGGGGCCACTCACCGCAGCACGCCGAGCCCAGCAGCAGCAGCAGCACCAGGGGCCACATCTCCGCGCCGCCGCGGGGTCGCCGTCGCCGCCGCCGCCGCCGCCGCCGCCGGTGTCTGGAGCAGCCGCCGCCGCCGCCGCCGCCGCCGCCGCCACAAGCAGCACCGGCCGCCGCGGCTGTCAACGACAGCGCCCGCCGCCCAGGCTGCCCGGCCGCGCGCACGCGCGCTCCCGCCACTCCGCGCCCCCTCCCCCGCGCTCGCGGGCCGCGCACGCGCACTCGCCTCGCCCCCGCCCGCCGGCGCGGCTGTGGACGCGGCGGGCTCGAGTCCCCCTCTCGCCCGTGGCGCGCGCCGGGCTCCCCGGTCACGCCCTCGGCCCCTCCCCCGCAGGCGGAGCGTCTGTTCCCACGCTCCCCCGGGACCTCCTGGCTCCGGCACCGCCCGGCCCACGGCCCCCTGCGCTCGCCCTCCCTGCTCTCCCGCCTCTGGAGCCCCGGGCGCCGCCCACCCGCCCGCCAGAGCCCAGACCGCGCTCCTCCCCGGCCCCCGGCCGGCGTCTGCGCCCCTCCCGGGTCGGCGAGGGCATCGCGGCCGGGCGCCCTCTGTCCCGGTCCGCAGGGACGCCCGCGCGCCGCTCGGGTCAATGGCCCATCTGCTCTGGTTTCCGCTGCGGTTCAGTCTCCCTCTCGCCTTGGGCTTCGGTGTTTTCATCCTTTGAACAGGGTTAAACAAACAAGTTCTACCTGTGGGGTAAACGCTGGCGGTGTGGTTAGGGCTGAAACCCCAGGGACGATCGGGCATGGTCGCAAACATTGGCGACACATCCAAGACATCCCTTCCAGGGGCCGCCCAGTGGCGTAGCAGTTAATTTCACGCTCTCGGCTTGGGTGGCCCGGGCTGGGGCTGGAGGGTTCGGATCCTGGGCACGGACTTACTCACACTCATGAAGCCATGCTGTGGCAGCATCCCGCATACAAAATAGAGGAAGATTGGCACAGATGTTAGCTCAAGGCCAATCTTCCTGACCCAAAAGAAAAAAAAAAAAAATCCCTTCCAGCAGTGAACATCATTGAGCCCCGAGTGAGCCCTCTGTGCCCTGTTTGGCTTTAACATGCTTGAAAAATGGGTTCAAAAGGTGGCCCTGAGCCCCGGCATGGACAAGGCATTTGAATATCTCACTGAATCACAGAGGCCAGCCACATCACTCATCCGGAAGCAAAAGCCCTTTTAAAACTACCTTTAACATTTATCCTAAATGATGAACTCTCGTCAAAAAGCCAGGATCTGGCGGGTGCTCTAATGGGGTGCATATTCTGTCCGCTCCTGTGGTGGGTTTTCTCTTACCTGCTGGAAAAGAAAGCAATTCCCCATCACAATGTTCTGTTTTTTCAAATCCTCCACCCATGGCGTCTCTTCCATTGTACCCCATACCCTTAGTAATAAGATCCAGGAAACAAAATTTCCACTCTGTAGCAGTGTATTATATACTATGTAACTTTTTCCTATAGTTTTTTTGTGTAAACCTCTTGCGCACAATATTATCAATTCTTTGAAATTAGAGAGTGTTTTCAGTATTCCTGCCTTCAAGACTTCCTGTTGAACTGGGCAAACAGAAGGGGTTTAATAAATGTGTTGGTGTGACTTGAGGCAGGGATTGTTCCAGTGAAATTTGATTGTTTTTAATGATTAAAAAACCCCACCAAACAATTGCCTGGCAGATCTCTCTCTCAAACAATGGTTAATAATTGTGGTGGTAATGATTTGAATGGCAGCCTTGACACCCTGAGGCTACCAAAGGGACTCATGGATCCTTCTCTAACTGCTGCTTACACGGATACAAAAGAATCATCCACCAGACTTTGAGCATTCGGGACATTGTGTATCACAGAGCAGCTGGTTGGCTAAATAAGGCTGTCAGCTGTCCCTGAGACCAACCAACCCCCCTAAAGCTGAAGAGTGCCTGGGAAGGACTGTCCCCAACCTTCAGAGGTAGAGATCGATGGATGCTCTGTTTTATACTGGGAGCTGCTGAGCGTATGTGTTTAAAGTAGCTTTGTGCAGAAAATGGAATAGGCCTAAGTCAGGTGAATGAGCCGTCACTTGGGCGACCACCTCTGCTCTTGGGAATCTAGCTGGGGTATGTTTTCATGGTGAGGCAGAGGATGTCTGTTCTAGGAGAGAGAATCCAAAGCAAGCTGCCTGGGTTCCAGTGCCTTCTCTCTGAAATAAGCTTGTGTGCCTCTCTCCAGTATCCAACCAGTATCTTACATTTGTGTTCCCCTTTTAATGTTTCCACGCATTTCTATTTGTATTTTGAGCTCATCTTATCTTTACGTACAGGGTTTCTTGGGTGGAAGGTGAGGGAGTAATGGATATTAAAATCTTTTGAACAGAGGTAGTGCACATAGGATATCTTACCGAAGTTCATCTTCATAGCCGCGGTGGAACGAACGGTATCATGTTTCCGTTTTAGTGATGAGAAAACAAGGGAGAGAGGGGGAGAGAGGACCTTGCCCACGGTTATGTGTGATATTTCTCTCTCCCTGTCCCTCTCGTTTATGTCTCTCTCTCTGGGCCTCATTTCCTGACTCTTTTCACTCTTTAACATCAAAGATGTTATAGTTTCCCCTTACAGATGAATAAACTTACAACTCCAAACCTTTGCTATTGTCGGGACCCCTTATACACCAGGAAGGTGAGACTTGCTCCCAAGCTCAGGGAGGGGTTATGGTTGGACTGAAGTTTACCTGGCTCCAAGGCTAGTGAAAACATTCACAAGCGTTCTTTCTCAGATCAGGACCAAAGCCCTTTTCTTTCACTTCCTATCTTAACAATACGTCTACTTTTATTGTCCTCTCCAAACTGTATCTATCCTACCACTTAGTCCATACTGATATAATATAACCTAAAAATTTACATTGATACACTTGTATCCTTATTGTAATTTTTCATTCACCAGACACTTTTTGCCCCATGTAGGAGCATGAAGTGCGATGGTCTGTCACCTGGTGGTGCTGAGGGTCGGCTCAGAGCTGTACCCACTGAACTATACATGGTCCATGCTTTGTGCAGGGCCACACGTACCTTTCTGCATCAGCAGACCTCTGTGAAAGGACCCCACAGTAGCCCAAAGCCCAAGAAAACCCCAGTAAAAGTTAAATGCCCCTTCTCTGTGTTTTGGTCATGTTTGGTGACTATCAGTTATCGTATTATACTGAAATTATCTGTTTCTGTGGCTATCTTCCTGTGTAATAATGACTCCTTCCTAGACTGTAAACTCAATGAGGGGAGAGACCATATGAGTCAAGTTCACTGCTAGCCCCATTGCCTGGCACTTCGTAGGTAATCAACAAATAGTTGCTAACAGGACGAACGAATGATTAAACCTCCCAAGGCCAGGAACTGTGTCTTCCTTGAGTGTCCGGCGAAGTTCCCAGCATAAAGGGGTATTCAGTAAACATCTGTAACCTGAACTGTTCAACTAACCCTGAAGCTTATGCGACATATCAGAGGTCTGTGAACCGAACTATTGAATTCACCCTGAAGTTTGTCAGGCATCTCAGAGGTTCTTTGCGTCAATAATTCCAATTTTTGGCTTATTAATGAAGCTGGTTGCAGTACATGAGTATTCTGTCTCTTCATGGTGTCTCTGAATATGTGTTTTGTAATGAAGAGTCTCGTATTTTTAACACTTCTGGCCAAGGTGGTCCTGGATAACTTCTGTGCCGTGGGCAGGCACTTTACACTAGCCATGCTGGGTTTTCCAGTGCTGGGTCTACTCTCGTTTCAGGTTTCTCTGCTTCAGTCATGCTGTTTGTTCCCTCTGCTTCATATATTCTTCCCCATGTTTTCTCCTCTCTTCAGTCCAAAGAATTCCAACTCACCCTTCAAGGCCAACATCAAGTTTTACCTCCTCCAGGAAGCCTTTCTCAATCCTGCCTTTCCTCTTTCCTATAACTCTCCACCACCTTGCTGGTCTGATTACCTCTTCCATTATACTTTGTGTGGCTATTAAAATGTGTTAATATAAAAAAAAGTTTAGAATTTAAAAGAATGTGTTAATATATATTTCTTTCTACGTATCTCTCTCCTCTTCTATCATGCCAGCTAAGAGAAAATAAAAATTTTCCTGGGCATATTTGTCTCTCCAGGGTCTGGCACAGTGCCTGCTAGAGACCTAAGGGCCCTGTGTGTGCTGAATCAATCAAGAGAAAACAGTGTGGTAAGTAGTATACAGAAACACTTCAGCCTGGGTTTGAGTTACTCCTTCAGCCATGTACTACCAATTAACCTTGGGCAAGTTCCTTAAACTTTCCGAGCCCTCATTCCTCGTTTGTAAAGCTGGATGATAAAAATAATCAAAATTAACTCTTCAAATTGGCTGGGGGAATTTAATGTTGACGCTTTTGCAGTTACATAGAGCAGGGCCTGGTGCACAGTAAGCACACAGTCAATATTAGCTCTTATTATTACAACCATCTTACAGTGAGATGGATCTCCTAGAAGGGCAGTGACAATTATTATCAAAAGGATCACCAGTGGCCGGTCTGGAGCCTTGAAGAAGCACCATGAGTTAGGGAAGTGGCTACATTTTTGATTCAAGCTAGAGGCACATGTCTGTGCTCAGTGGGCAGCCCTTAATCCTCGCTCTTCTGCACACTTTGCTGGTGATTGAATATGGAGGGGCCCACATCGCTGACTCCTGGCTCAGGGCGCAGTGCCCTAGGTTTACCCAGTTATTTCAGGTTAACCCAGTTATTAAAGCAGAGGAGCCCCAGTCATCAAATAAAGCGTTGTAGCAATGAGGGTCTGTGTGCTCTGGGCAAGGACTGGGTTTGCGTGGTTAGGTGGCTGCAAGATGGTGACGTGTAGCTGGAGGGATGTGTTTGGCTTAGGGAGACAGGAGGAAGGCTCCAGCAGCAGGTAATGATCTTCCTAGCTTGCGCTTCAGCTAAGGGCAAATATTAGAAACAGAAAGGGCCTCATGGTAGGAGGGCAGTAAGACGGAGGGTTTGGGTAAGGTATATCCTACCAGAGAGATGACAGTCTGATCTGGCGTGAATTTCCTCCTGGGTGTCAGCTGTGCACAGGATTGTTTCACCTAATCAGGGAGAAGCACAGCCTTTCCTCTTCCTCCTCCTCCTGGTGCTGGAGGCTACTCAGGTTGGGGGACCCATGCTCAAGACAGCTGGAAAGCATTCGAGAAAGCCAGCTTCGGGGTTAGGTTGTAAAACCACAGCAGGTGAATTTCTTTGAGAGTACTTGATGTTTGGGGTCCTGGGAAGGCCCCTTCCTATCTTGCCTGACTCTCCTCTTTGAGCACGTAACATGCATGTAGTGGCTGCGTGCTATGCACCAAGACTTCTCCCTGCTAGTGTATTCATTTTCTACTGCTGCCAGAATAAAATCCCATGGGCTTAAGGGCTTCAGACAACACTCATTGATTCTCTCACAGTTCTGTAGGTCAGAAGTCCAATGGGCTCAGCTGATTCCTCTGCTTCTGTTCCCAGAAGGCTGAAATCAAGGCATTGGCTGGGCTTCTTTCCCTTCTGGGCTTAGGGGAGAATCCATTTCCGGGTACATGCAGGTGGTTGGCAGAATTCAGTGTCTGTAGCACTGAGGTCCTGTTTCCTTGCTGGCTGCTGTCTGGGGGGCTCCCTAGCA